CTTTTAGTCCGAATCACTAATATGGGGGGAAAACGGATCGCGGGCAACGTGTAAGTCGAAGTGAAAGTCAAGCTGATGAACAGCACTCCATTTGCGCCTTGCTCCTGCTTTCTCGTTCGACCATAATACAATAATACCAGCAACAACTATTGTTAACGTGAGTGCGAATTGTTCGTGATTTGCGATAGCCAACAGACAATTTGAGACACGCAAACATACAAACGTGCCAACGCACAATTGTACAAATATACAAATGTACAAATGCTCAATCAATGTTATTCAAGTGTTTTAAGGTATCGGCACTTGGTTTGTGCCAATGTGTTTGTGTGTTTGTGTGTGTGTGTGTGTGTGTGTGTGTGTGTGTGTGTGTGTGTGTGTGCAAGTGTTTGTTATAAGATGAAGTGTTATCCTTTTTAGTAGTTTTCCACACGTACGCATCCAAATAGACTACGAGTAGTTGGCAGTTGAGGAGGTAAGCACTGGCAGTAGCAGACACTTAGAGGGTCAAGCCAAGCAACAGACACTTTACTCAGTAAACCAAAGTTATAAATAAAACTGAAGGAGTGCTTTGCAACAATACGATATCAAAGTGTGACGTTGTTGGCCAAATTCGAATCCAAGGAGAATATGGTTACGACGCCGAAGTAATCAAAAACTTTGCACGTTACTATTCATGCGATTTTATTCGAATCGACAAAGGGAATGGCGCTGGTGAATTTTAGAAGTTTAGTTTTATTTGTTTAACTGCACTACTTCTAGATAGCAGGTAGTTGGAAAATGTATTTAGTATGTATGTATGTGTATTAAATATATGCCGCGATGTGGAAAGCATATTAATACCAATTGCAGTTAAGGTGCATGTCTTTTGCTTCTTTTTTGTTTTACGGTAACTTTAATTGAAGTTTAATCTAAGTAGAATTTTGTGGAATGTCTGGTTAGACAAAAGACAGTGTAGACTTCACCTCAGCGTCTCAAAAGTAGACTTAAAGGCTTTGATTTCTCGTTAGCCAATATAAGTAGAAGAGATTGTTTCAAGACAACCAAATCTTAAGTATCCATCAGTTTTTATGAGGCAAACATGCTCACCAAGCTTGTTAGAGGTATTTTGACTATGTATAACGGGTGATCCAAGTAGAGGTATTTTTCTCAACAGCCTTTTTCGACAGATCATGCGTGAGTGTGCACGTCAAGCTGTCGTTTTAGTTTTGTTTAGTATTTTTTGGCATTTCATTATGGGTAGACTTTCGCCTGAACAACGTTCACAAATCGTTCAACTTTATACCGAAAATTCACGTTCTGTAAATAATGTGTTTCTCGAGCTTCGTTCAACTTATGGTTAATTAAATTGGCCGACGGAGCGTACTATTCGCAACACCATTATTGGATAATATTCAACCGAATAGACCACGTTCAGCACGCAGAGAAGAAAATCCAGCTGTCGTGGCTAAGAATGTACAAGAAAACCTTGGGGTTCGATTCGGCGCCGTTCGCAGCAACTCGGACTGACGTATCTTCAATTAGAATCGTATAAAATATAGCTTGTGCAGGAACTGAAGCATATCGACCTTCCCATGTGACATCGCTTCACTCTATGAGCTTTTGAACAGACCCAAAAAGATATGACGTTTTCGATCCAAATTTTGATCAGCGATGAGGTCCATTTTCGGCTCAATAGGTATATAAATAAGGAAAATTTTCACATTTGGGACAAATATCAACGTGAAGCGATTAAAGATCTGCCTTTTCATCCAGAAAAACATAACGGTTGGATGTGGTTTTTACGCCGGTGGAATCATTGGTGCATATTTCATCAATGCCCATGAGAACGTAACTGTCAATGGAGACCGTTATCGCTCAAGTTATCGACTATTTGATGACTGAAATTGAAGTTCATTTAATCGATTTATTGAGAGAGCACTTCGGTGAGAAGTTAATTTAACGTTTTAGGCCGCTCAATTGGCCACCAAGAATGTGTGAGTTAGACTTTTTTTGTTACCTCGGGGGATATGTAAAGCCTAAGGTCTTCGATTTAGGCAGTGAAGCAACGAGGTTTGCGCGTCATTCGCCAGCTACCAGTCAAAATGCTCGAAGGAGTTGTAGCCGCGGCCATTATTTGAAAGAGATAATCTCCAAATAATAAATGTCAAATAATCTTCTTTGGAGTGAATGACCTTTGTTTTTTTTTTTAAAATAGTAGGTAACCTCGAAATGGATCACCTTTTATATTCATAAAAGAAAGCGAAGTTAGCTACTACGCTTATAACTCAGTAGCACCATGTCCCATTCGGGTTGATCTGGAAGAAGTAGACCAGGGGCCGACTAGTATTTTTCGTTCGATTTTCTTCAAAATTTGGTACAAACTTTGCTTCACGCTTAGCCTAAAACGAACATAGCTTTTCCCGGGAGTGTAACTTGCGCTGATCTGTCGTAAAATAATTTTTCTTATGACTCGACCTATTTGAAATTTGTCTGAGTTAAAATAGGATAGGATGATGATGATGTTCTTATCAAGAAAACTGTGGATGAGGCCCTACTCTCAAGTGGCTTGTGGAAGATAGAATCAACTCTCGAAAATGAATATACCTTGGGTATCTTCCTCGTTCTGAAACATTTCTTAAGGAATGGGTAAAACATATCAGGTGTCAACCCTGTCCTTAGTTATTGCGGAAATATCCAAGCGCGATGGGGGGAGGGGGGGGGTGGCTATCACCTCGCTCATTACTCTTGCGGATAAGGCTCTTTTCTCAAAGAAATACAAAATTCCAGCTTGAATCGAACTAAGGATGGGAGAAATCAGTGAACCTAGCGAGGGAGTTAACAAAAGTTGGTCAGTTGGTGATTTTAAATTTGTTTTTGTTAAATCTAAAAATACCAAATCCTTTGCACTTACTTTAAAAGTCTTCCTTTCAAATCGTAAAACGATCGGCTAAGACGGCGACGAGAAAACGCAGAGATAGCTGAGGAAAAGTCTGAAGAAATTCCACCACCAACTGTAGTTCACCATATGATTCTTTTCAGTTTTCGGCGTAATCTACAGCCAATAGAAATATTCAGTAAATGCCAAATTACAAACGGTACGATTGAACCGTCTTTAAAGACTAATTCTAAGTGGTTTCAAAGCTTTCAGACCGGAGAAGCCCTGAAAAGGTCGTTAAAAATCTTTCACTGGTGACGTCACTATAGCTGTGGTGAAGTCCAGAAGTGACGAAGACTCACGATTGTCACAAGAAAGGATTGCTAATGAATTTAGCATGAATGTCATGGCTGTATCACGAATATTAAGTAATCATCTGGGAAACACGAGAAAATCTGCTCGATGTGAAGGTACCACGAATTTTATATGAGGCCCAAAAGAGGCTCGAGAGCATTTTGCTCTGTTCGAAATTCGAAAATGGTCAGTCTAGCAACTTTAGTAAATTCATTAATAGTGACGAATCTTAGTTCTATTGTATAAATACGATCCAGAAACCAAAGAGCAGTCCAAGGTATGGAGCCGAATAGAAGCAAACCTACCCCTAAAATCTAAGCATCAAAAATCACCAGCAAATGTAATGATGCCAGTTTACTTCATCCGATCTAAAATCGTAGCCGCTATTTCACTGGAAAAGGATCAGACGGTAACTACGAAGCGATGCATCGAAGGTTGTTCACCAAAAGTTATTCGAAAATTTTTTGGAAAATATATATATAAATATATAATATTAGCACCATCTTAAAATTCTATGCAGATGTTCTATTCTACATGCATTTGGAAGAACTTCGCGTAAGAAAAGAAGCATCGAATACACAAGAACAAGTAATGCCCCGCCTGCAAAGTGTCATAAAGAGGGGCCATTTTCTTTATGCCTGAAATGCGTGTAAAGCCTAAAAATTTTCGAAATTCACAAAGCAGGAAAAGATTGGTGTAGAGTTGTACTTTAAAAGTATATATGGTATCGATGCTTTTCTCCCGCTACATGCAACGATGAGATGAACTTTTGCGAGGCCGTGTCGTCACAGTAAAAGCGGAAACAAAAATTAAAAAAAAACTCTAAATTTTTTATTATGAAACTATCGGAGAGCACAAAAATTTGTTGGTTTGCTAATTAATTGATTAATATTTTAAATAAATTTTTACGAAAGAAGTTTTTTTATGAAACTATAATTCATGGAGAAAGTAATTTAAGCCCATATAGAATTCAATTGAATTTAGAGAAATAAAATATCTTATTTTTATCTACACAATAAAATTCAAAAACCAAAAAACTTGTATATCTTTTTTGCACTGTACTACACACCACTTGATGGTGGTATTTAAATTTCCTAATGCCCTGCCCAAGTACCCATGACCCCTAATATTGGCCACTTAGCTATGCTTCTGCCCTCTAAATTGCTTAAAATATTTATTTGCGGACAATAAATTTACGATATTCACATCCTTTACTTAAACTTCATATCAAGCAACAACCACAACAAAAACAAGGGCCAAGTCTGTTGTGCTATGCTATGTTAAACTGTGATGTAATGCCACACAGCAGCAGCATTTTAAGGTGTTTTACACCACACCTTTTTATGTTGGCGCATATTTTCCCCAATTTACACCTTTCATCTTGCCAACGCTTGATTGTGTATACGAATATGTGCAGGTATATGTGTGCTTATAACTTTGTGTGTGTGCACTTAAGTCTTGCAGCCATATTTATTATTAATGTGTTGAGTGAAGCAGTAGAAACAGTTTCAACAGCAGCTACGCCAAAAAAAGAATTTCTACATACATATACATACATATAAACGAACCCCAAAGCTTATCAGCGAGATGTAAATGTATATCTGTGTGTGTATATTTAAAAAGGTACAGTATATGCTGGTTTCACTCGTTGCTTTGAACCCTTGGTGAATGAATGAGCTTCACCTTTTTCATATGGACAGGGCTTTCTATATATGTATGTACATAACTATACAAATGACTATATCTTTGCATAAAGGATAGAGTGTATAAGAAGGTATGCTTATTATCTTACCTGGCATGCGTTAACGGTATTATTGTCGGTGGATTTGGCGGCTGCTGTGGCACGATAAGCCCACGTCTGGGCGGTCCTCGCTGTGGCAGTGAGATATCTCCGGCGGATCTTAATGAAATTACACCAACACTTTCACGATTTGAGGTGAAACGAACGCGACCACCCTGTGGATTAGAAAAACAAAACAACAACAATCAACAACAATCAACAACAACAAGAATAAAGTGTTAAAATATCTGCAGGGTGCAGGTGTATGAGTGTAAGTGTGTTAAACATTTAAACCAACACAGAGTTAGTAGTTGAGATGAGGCCACAAATACAACGGCGGTCTTTTGGGTAAAAAAGTTGAGAATTATTATATGAAAAATTAACAAAGTTTAGAAAAGTTTGCGCAAATGCATTGCAACGAAGCAATATCTGTCATGTTTACAGTTTTTTATTCTCTTTTTCGGCGATTTGAAGGAATTATTTTTGTATGTGTGCAATTTTGAATACCAAGATTTTTGTAGATACATAAGCATGTACGTATGAATCGGCGCATATAAAACCGTAGGTCACGCAACCGTTGAATCAAGATTTTTATACTCACAGTGTGCCCAACGAAACATTTTTATAACAAAAACAAAATTTGTTTGTAGTATAAATTGTTTTGATTGACTTTTTGTGGAAAATGACTAAAAATGTCTTCGGCTATATTTTAGGTACATAAATAATTTAATTTAAATATAAACGCAAATCAAGTCAGCATTTGAGTTGTTGTACAGCGATTAAAAAACAATTAATTTAACTCAATTATTAGAATGTTGGTCGGTCAAGGGCTTAAATTCATGACTTTACGCATGACACTGCGGCTCTTGCGTTCACTTTCATACCGTTAAAAAATGTTAGTACATTGATATCGATCGAAAAATGATAGCAGTGATTGTCAACAAATGCTTTCCTTTAAGGCAAGTTTGATGGAGAACATAAGAGCAGATTTACCCATGGAAGGAGTACAAGCTGAGAGACCATTCTATACAGCTGCAAGAGATATCAGTCGGAAATTCGAAATAGGCAGCCCATGAACTGTTACATTACTTCATATATTTACTTATTTATTATTTTTGCAACAAAGGTGGAACTCTATTGGACCCAAAAACAAGCTGCTGGAACTGCAGCGATTTTTTCTAAGACGCAAACGCCAAGACAAAGCGCACAAAACATGTTTAGATCGCCTTGATCATCTAATTTTGAAGGACTATGGGATGCTGGAGTTAGATCAGCGAAATTTCACTTCTACAGAGTTGTAGGTTCTTCGAGGTTGTCTTTTGAAAAACTTCGTACACTTGTCTGGGAAATTTCGGCAATAATTAATTCCAGACCACTTATTCCACTTCAAGAGCATCGAGATGGGCAGTCCTTATATCAGCGCATTTTTTTATTGGCAATCCCTTCACAATTACAATGGAGCCGGACATCAAAGAGATCAGCATTATCCGACGTGGTCGTTGGCAGCGCATTTCTCAAATGCAACAAATTTTTTGGAAAAAGTGGGGTGTAGAATACCTCAGCAATCTATAGCAACGCAAAGTTGCAAGCAAGTTCAGGTTGCTGCCATAAGATGATTATCTTTCAACGTGCGGAGGATGTTGAAAACCACTGGAGTAAATAGCACCCAGCAGTTTGGTTTTGCATTTCTTTCCTTCTTTTACCACTCGCACTTAAATCGTACTCAATCGCTATGTAATTGCTCTCTTATACTAAGCTCAAGTATTTCTCATTCTACTCATTTTCTACCGCTAATTTTCTATACAAATTTATAGTAGTTTTATGCTATTTAAGAACTCTTTCATCACATGTGTTCATCTCAATTGGAAAATACATTGTTGAAGAAAACATATTTTGGTCGAGACAAAGCAGTCTCCAGACTCTATACAATGATTCTTTTAGATATAGCGGCAAAAAAAATTCTTCTTAAGTTGAGGTAGGTAAAGAGGTACCTATGTTCTTTATATGTATTTAGAAAACCCGGACAATCGAATCGATTTGAGGTTCACTTACCGGAAGAAAAAGTGTTCCAGTTGTTAATTATGGCAAAAAGCTAACGCTAATACACAATTTTTTGTAAATAAAACAACAAATACATTTTTTTTTGAAAATAGTTGGGTCACAAGTACGTCCGTGGAAGGAAAAATTTTTTCGATATCAACATAGGCAAAGAGTTAACTTTGTAAGATCATGAAAAAATGAACGATTTAAAAGTAGACTACATTTTGTCGAACAGATCGGTCCCAGGTGCACATCCCGAAAATTTCTTCCTTGGCAAGTGCTTACGTCTTATGCTGAACACACTCTTTAAGTTTTAGGTACCGATAAATAATGGCTTAGGCGGTGGGTTGATAAGTCAGTGATTCAGGACAAAGCTTTTTATGTACGAGGGGATTAACAAAAAATCGGTCAGTTAGTTACAATACTTTCATTATGTTTTTGTAAGATCTAAAAATACTGAATTCTTTGGAATTGCATTATTAGTCTTTCGAGCCTTGGGGACGAGAAAACGCAAGAAAGGTGAGGATAGATCAGACGAAATTCCACCACGAACGCAAACAGAAATTCGCCTTGTGATTTTCTTACACCAATACAAATATTCAGTGAATGCCGAATTGCGTATGAAAATATTGCACCGTCTTTAAAGTTTATTTCTAAGTGATTCCCAAGATTTTTCCGTAGAAGATGAGCCCAGAGAAGGTCTACCGAAATCTTCCACACAAAACTTCACTATGACTCTGGTGAAGTGCGAAATTAGCGAAGACCCGCAATTGACTCAAGGAATGATTGCTAAAGAATTGGGCTTGAATGTCATGGCTGTATAGCGAATATTAAGTTATCATCTGGTATATACGACGAAATCAGCGAATTTTAAATGCGGTCCAAAACAGGCTGAAGTTCATTTTGCTATATTTTTCCTAAACAAATTCGAAAATGGTCAGTCTAGCAATTTTTGGAAAGTCGTTTCTGGTGGCGAATCTTGGTTGTATAAGTATCCAGAAACCAAACAGCGGTCCATAGTAAGGAGCCCAAAAGCAGCAAACTCATCCGTAGAATCTAAGCAAAAAAATCAGCAGCAAAAGTTATGATGTCAGTCAGCTTACCTAATTTTCGTTAATCGCTTCGTATATACTGGATCAGCCCTACAGTCTCTTAGGTGCAACAATATGACAGCTCTACTTGAATTTACCTGGGGTTTTCTTATTTTGTTAAGAAATAATCATAGAGAGCAACATTTCTAAAGGCTTGGAGTCCTTAAGAGGCAAACACACTAACTTGGTTTTGTCGGTGCCACAACTAACTTTAATCTATTCTAATATCTCTTATATTAAATATGAGTTCGTAAGCCGCTTTAATTTTGAACAGATTTTAAATTTATTCTTTCCTTAATGTAATTATCAACGACGCTTCGGAAAAATTCTGTTCGGTGCCACAAATTTTGTTCCACCGCCATTGAAGCGTGTTGCTTGTTTTTTTTTTTTTTGTCATTTATGAGTGTATTCATACAGTTCTAATAAATTTGCAACAAATGTGCCTCAACCACAAATGCGGAGATATTTCAGTTATTTTATTTAATTTTCTTTTTTCTTTCATTTTTTCATCACATTTGCGCTTTTTGCAATCGATTCAAATGAATTCAAGTGAATTTTATTTACCCCCAAACAAAAAACCGCAAATATTCGTCGAATTTTCATGTGCTTTTGTTCATTGCTCATCAGCTGACCCCTTCTCTCGCTCATGTGCTACGCAAGCACTAAAAAAATGTGTTTGTTAATATGTATATATATGTATGTAAGTGCGTAGAATTGCGCAACTAACAAAATTTGACATCAAAGCAAACTGAATGGAAATTGAAGGATTTGATGCGGAGTCAAAAACCACTTGCGAAAAGCCACAAAGCTCATAAATCAAAGGAAAAACAACATCACAGTTTAATCTGCCACAATGGGTGAAAACAACAACAGCAACCATCACATTCGTATTACTATTGCCACTGCTATTGCTGCTGCTAACTACTGTCGTCCAAGCCTCAACCACAACTACCCACAAACGCAATCTCCAGGCGCGGTTTCGGATTACGCCGAAGGCCCAGGCGCTGGAAACGCTGGGACCAAACAGCAAAACTCAATGGCAGGCTAAAGTTCTGCGCAGCATCCGAACAGACTGCTTATTAAGATTATGGGAAGCGGAAATTGTAGAGGACAGCAGCAGCAGCGTCTTCACAACGCTCTTAGCATAAATCGCATTTGAAAATGGCAGCGCCAATAGCAAAGGCACATAATGCGGACTGGCTATACTTGCGGGTGGAATTCGTTTTGCATTTTGAGAAGAATTATGCATTTCCGCGATGTCAATAAACATAAAGTGAATTCCAATAAAAAAACATTGAAAGCAATAAACGAAAGCAAACGAATGAAGCGAAAATACTCAATTGAAAATGGAGAAAAATTGAAAAATCTCATAAAAAATTCCAGGGCAAAGAGGGTGGTTGGCGCAGCAAGAAGAAAAACTTCATTATGCACATTTCTATGGAGAGTACACATGTCTGTATGTATGTACGTATGTTTTAAGTAGTGAACCCAAAATCAAAGTAAAGAAAATATATTCAGCGTGTAATTTAATAAAGCGATTGCAAATACAATTGTCGAAAAGTGCGCTGCTGCCCGAGCGGAGACAGCCAGACAAACCGTTAAGTTAAACAAAAAAAAAATGAGAAACCCACAAACACAAAAAAGCACATACAAAAGATGAGCATATAGAAAACTGAGAACACGGAAAATACAAATAATGAGTGGCAAATGCAAAAAGGCAAGTTTTGATAAAGGATACTCGCAAGCTAGAGTAAAATCAGCAATGAAGCGAATCATGGCACAGCTTCAATGAACTTGAACTAAAACCGCACGCAAGGGCGCACCCGTTTCAAATAGAATGTTGAAGGTTTATGCGGTGGGGGGTACGTGCCTTTCAGTGTTGTGGTAAAGTGTCTGATGTTCGTTCAACAGAGTTGCCATGGATCTTTACTTAGTTTTACGAAGGCATTTAGTGAAGACAATTTTTTAACTGATGACAGACAATTCATTTCTTCACAGTTAGGGTACGGCAAAGTCATTGATGTCAATATTGTAGTTTTATCAAACCTACAGAATTTTCAAATAATAGGATTTTTCTACTCAAAACTAAATACGATTTTTTTTTTAACATGAAATAACTAAGAAACAAACTATGCATGCTGTTACAAAAAAAAAAAAACGATTATAAATTTTAAGAAATAACATAAACAATTTACGCCGAAAACAAAACAACACCTAAGTAAAATAAAACACCATAATAATAATAATTTTATTAAATACAACAAAATAAAAAGAATATAAAACAAAAAAATATATATACAAACTAAAATAAAATTGTGTTATATATAAATAAATTAAAAAAAATAAAATAAATTAATTTAAAAAAATTAAATTAAACTAATTAAAGCAAAATGACATAGAATAAATTAAAATAAAATTAACAAAAGTAAAATTAAATAAAACAAAATTAAAAAAAAATTATAAAATGAAATAAAAAATTTGAAATTGAAATAAAACTAAATAAGAAAAAAAATTAAATAAAATTGTATTAAAGATAAATAAACTAAAAAAAGGATAAAATATATTAATTTAAATTAAATTAAGTAAGTTGACTTAAAATAATTTAAAATAAAATTAAACAAAATAAAATATAATAGAAGAAAATAATGTAAAATAAATAATATAATAAACTAATATATAAAAAATAAAATATACTTATATAAAACAAAATTAAACAAATAAAATAAGATAAAATAAAATAAAATAAAATTTTATAGAACAAAAATAAAAATAAAAAATAAATAAAATAAAATAATTAAGTTAATAATTTATGACCAAGAATAATTTAAAATAAAATAAAATAAATAAAATAAACTTAAACAAAAAAAATATGATAAAATAACGTAAAAAAATCAAAAATTTAAATACAATAAAAATAAATTAAACAAATTAAAATAAATTAATAAAAATTAAAATGAAAAAATGTAAAAATTAAAAATAAATAGAATAAAGTTAAATAAAACAAAATAAAATAAAATAAATTAATATAAAATATAATAAAATAAAAAACTAAAAATTATATAGAATAAAGTAAAATATGATAAATAAAATAAAGTAATACAAATAAAATAAAATTTTAGTAAGTATCAAACTTTAAAATAAAATAAAAACAATAAAATAAATAAAAAGTAAAATAAAATAAATACAATAAAATAAAGCAAAATAAAGTAAAATATAATAATTTCAGATTAAATAACATAAAATGAAACAAATTAAAATAAAATAAAATAAAATAAAATAAAACAAATTAATTAAAAGTAAAATAAAACAAAACATAATAAATCATTATAAAATGAAATAAAATAAAAGTTTTACAATACACAACAGAAAAATTAAATATAATAAAATAAATGATAAAATAAAATAAAGTAATAAAAATTAATTTAATAAGGTAAGAATAAATAAAAAAAAATGAATAAAATTAATTAATATAAAGTAAAATATAACAAAATAAAATAACCTAAGGTCAAGTAAAATAAAATGAAATAAATTAAAATAAAATAAAAACAAAAAAAAAATTAAATAAGGTAAAGAAATAAAATAAAATGGGATAAGACAAAACAATGTAAACAGAATTTGACTAAAAAATAAAACGAAATAAAAAACAAATTAAATAAAGTAATAAAAAATAAGGAATAAAATAAAATAAGTTAAATATAATTAGCAAAATAAAATTAAAAAACGAAGTGGAAAACAACAAAAAAAGAAAAACGCGGTGCTAACCCGATGGGATTTTAAAGCTGTGTTTCAAAAGTAAATATTGTAATAAAAGCCTTACAATAATTGTTTTTTTTTATAGATAAAGTTCACTTAGAGAGAATCAATTTTTGTTGAAGTCTTCCCTACATCGGATCACATAGATTTGTTACACTTTACTTTCATTTGTAAGATAGTAAATGCCCTGTCTGATTCTCTCCTTTTCCATTAATAAGCAACACTTAACACATGTACATATACAAAAAATTTAATAGTGTATTGACGTGTGTGGGCTTTTGGATAAACAGCTTCATCAATGAAACTACTCGTATTTATAAAATTCTTGTAAAAACTAAGAGATTTCTCAGTACCTGTATTGTAGCTGCAGGTCCACAATTAATGCCGGACATTAGGAAGTCATCTGGATCACTCTCATATGGTGGCTCATCATACCAATGGCCCTGATGGTGCAAACCGCTAACCGCATAATGTGGTCCACGTAGAGCATCGTCATACATATAAGTGTCGTCTGTGGAAAAAAAGTATAAGCGAAAAATAACAATTTTTTTTTTAACCAATATATTTTATTAAATTCTTTTAATTTTATAATTCCTATAAGAAAATTCAATCCACAGAGCAGTAGGAGAAAACTGAAATTCTCTCGAGAGAAAATTGCTTTTGCCTACAATGTTGCGTCAGTTAGCAACCGTGCATTGCGCGGCATATGCATGTATGTGCATACGTTGAGTGGGGCAAATTTCTTAAAAGCGCCGCAAATTATGCAACGAATCTTCCATATGCAGTCGCTTGTTTGCAGATGTTTAGCATCTTAAGTGCAGTTACATGGAAAATTTTGCGCCACTCAAGAAGGCGAACGACAACAAGGCACTAGCATAAGCAAAAGCGAAATGATAAGAAGAAGCAGAAATGAAAAAACTAAGAAAATGTTAAATTTTCAGCCGAAAAGTGTCATTGCACTTTTGTTTAGTCTACTTCTGCCACATCAAGATACTACAACGAACTGGGTGTCTGTCTCTTGAGCTTTTAGGTGCTTCAGTACATAAGAGCGCCGGTTGGCTTTTTGAAATGCAAGTAGTACAAACGAAAGAGGTGAGTCAGTACCAATGGTTTTTGGTTTCGGTTTGGCTGTATTTATAAGTTTAGATGCCCATGCATATGGAGATATGCATGTGTAAAGGCTTTAAGCTTCAATTTGAATACATTTGCATGTATATTGGTGTATATGTATGTGCATGCGTATGCTCAACAGCTTGTACGTCAAGCGGAAACGGACGTACACATTTTATGCTCACTTAAGCATGAGTGTTGCTCTCACATGTGCTCTTGCTGCGTTTAAACAAAGCCGTTGGGACGGAAAGTCAACTTTTTAACAGGTGGAAAACGGCAAACTTTTCGTCTCCGAAAAATGTAAGCACATACACATATTCAAATACATATAGAACATATTTTTAGGTCGCTTGTGTATTTGATAAAATTTATGTCTATGAATATAATTTTATTTTGGTTTTTTTTAATCTGGATTACTTTTACATCAAATCTTTTTCTTACCTATTCGTCCTTCGCGACTCATTTGCAGTAAGCCTTGTCGTATGTCACGCAAAATCTGAAATATTAAATGAATAAAGAAACATTAAGAGATAAGCTTTGAGATTGGTATGTCTTAATATTTTTTAAATAAATCACAATTATAGCCTTAAATTGAGAAAAAACATACACGTTTATAACTAGGAATATATGGAAAAAGCAATCAAACCACGAAAGAAATAAATTAGGTAGGATTTTGATAAAAAAGCTGTGAAGATTTTTTGCTTTATTAAGTTCTTGTTTCAAATTTTTAAACGATACACTCGCATATGCTGCAATATCAACAATAACCACAATATCAAGTAAGCATATTTTATATAAAACCGCAATTTGGGCATTCAATGGTTCAAATAATTTAATTTTTCATTTAATTTTTTTTTCATAACTTTTGGTTTTGGCAATACAGGGATAAGAACCGAGAATGTCAGTATGCAACCCTAACCACTCGGCTGATTATTGGGCTGTGCTGACTTATCTCCTGTATGTTTTTCGACTTCAGACCATATAAAGACCAATCCGGAAACAGAGATCGTATCTGATATTGAGAACTAGTTACTTGTATTCAGTACAGGAAACAAAACCAACGAAAACCCGATGCAGAAATACGACTAAATATTGCAGAAAACAAGATAGATTAAGATACGAAGCAAAAAGAAATATGAAAAATTGTATAACGTCTTTGTCTCCCAACACCTCAGCTAAAAAATCCCTTTAGAAAGCTAGCAAAAACCTTAAGCCATCTGTAAGCACTGAAGCACCGCTGATACTACGTAATGGTTCATGGGCCAGAAGGGATGAAGAAAAGGCTTCATGTTTTGCAGAGTACCTCAGTTCAGCGTCTGATCATATATTACCAAAAATGCTAAAAGATCTGCCTTGCAAAGATTTTCAGTGCCATTTTAATCTTAGGATATTATCCACAAACATGGGAGAAGGCGCAGATACTTACAACAGCTAACCGAAGTAAAGACGCAACCCGGTCATCATCATATAAACCAAACAGTCTGTTGCATTGCCTGTCCAGTTTATGATGGCACTCAAGCAAGAAATCTGGGCTCAGCTTTGAAAACGAAGTCCTTCTTTTTAATGCGACTATAAAACTGATATAGACGTATGGAATCCAGTTATGGGGTACAGCTTGTGTAACTAATCTAGATATAATACAAAGATTTTAATCGAAAACATTGAGATTAATAATGGGCATACATGTACCATAATCTGTAAACATACGCACAATCAAGGAAGAGGTTGAAATCATTACGCAAAAGTACAAAGCTATACTGCACAATTATTCAAACCCTTTGTTGGGATGACCTCCGGAAAAAGTCGTACGCGCCTTAAATGAAGGGGCTTACTACCCTTGTGAAGAGCAACATTAAGCCAGTAACCCACTCTTAGCTAATGGGCTAATGGGCTATTATATTTTAATTCAGTTTTTGAAGATTTGAAAACTTTTAGTGAGACTCTTGATAAGGAAGCAGATTCAATAAATAAATATCAAGGTTAAAACAAAAAATTATGGTCTCCATTTGTTGGAGGCACTATTGGGGCTATCTATTGCACTCATGTGTCCCTCATGAGCTCCATGTAGAATTCTATGTCAAGCATGGATACCATTCTATCAACGTGCAAATAGTGAGAGTATTTTTTTTCCAAATGCTATTGGCGACAAATGCTAATTAGCCAGGAGCACGGCAGGATTCTCTTATCTGGAGCACCGCTGCAGAGCAAATAGTCATAGAACGTAGTTTTCATTTTCACCTTTATGGGCTTGTTAATCGTCAAAAATATTCTACTTTTGGGGTTCTGAGAACCCACCACATGCGATTGTCGAAAAATGAATACATCCACAATGTGTAACTGTTTGGTTTTTGGCAAATGCGCCTGGTTAAGCAGTGACTGTTATTGCTGTTCGATATTGCGATATGATGCCAAAATTAGATAATATGATATGATCTATATGTGGTTTCAACTGCATGAGATTGATTTGGTGATCAGAATTGGCTATTTAATTTTATGGGCTTATTTAAAATCACAGGTCTAAACGCTATATCATTTCTACAGAAAACTCATAGCAAATTTTAACAAATGAGTGCGTTTTTTTATAGAAAGATGAGGAGGTCATTTGCCCCATGTGCTATTCCATAAATATTACTCTCTTATGAACTTTATCATTTAATAAAAAAAATTTAAAACTTAAGGCTAAAAACTGACTTTTCTATTTAATGCCACTTTTGACTTAATCTTAGGACACAATTTTTAAAATTAAAGATGTCTTTTCGCAAGCAACGTCTTGCTTGCCGTCCATTTCTACCAATTATCTAAAGCTGTAACTCATTATTAGGTAATATTCTAAAATTTATATTTATACTATAAACAAAACCAATAATATTCTTCCTCAAATCGAAAAGAGGAGTTTTCAAAATTGGCTAGCAAAATCATTAGCCGTTTTCAGGCATACTAGGCATGTAATAATTCATCAAACGCTCAATCCATCTGCAAATGGATCGACAAAATGAAAAAATAAACTGAATATATTATATAACGGTGTTTTCTGAAAAATTCGCTTTTAGTGAAATTTGAAGTGAAATATTACCTTTTATAAACGTATGTAACTTTTCAGAAAGATTGAAAAACAATATTTTATAACTCTTAAAATTGCCTTTTACTAAACAGCTATTGAATATACGTTAAAAGTTATACAATATTTTTTGCTGCTGTTTTCCGTTGAAACCCTGTAATCAAAATTTGATGATTTTACCTTTAACAGTGAAGATTATTCAACTTTTCTTATTAGAAAATTAATAAAACATCGGACTATTTTTGCATGACATAATAAAATATTTTATTTTATTCTGGGTATTTTCTATAGACATATTCTATGCTAACGGCGTAAGATGCTACTGCTTCTACTTTGTCTTAAGTCTTATTTTCCGAGGCACAAAATAAAAATTCTACATTCCATTGTAAGGCGTAGTTATTAATTAAAATCAAAATTTTTTTATATTAATATAAGACGGAAACAGTTAAGTAAGGTAAGGTTGAGGTAGCCACTGACCTATTGTATCGGTTTCACTTAGACCGCACGAAGCAACATTGCGATGGAAAAAATACTTGACCAGCAAGCTTGATTCTCCAGCCATTTTAATTCTCTAATGCACCTCATTATATCCATAACTCCGATGTCGGCTATCTTCGACAGACCATCTAGCAATAGGGTATAAAAAAAAACTTAAGCCTAGCCCCGCTGAAAACAGGACAGTCGCATGAGAGAAGGTGATCGTCTCCTTCTTCTCATCGTCTTTGCAGCTTCTGTGGCATCTCATCTTCTATAGGTAGTCCCCAACTAGTGTTTCTTACTTTGGACATGTTCGCATTTTTGAAGGAGTAAATTTATAGTGTTCTTTTCTTTTCTCATTGCGGTCATGACCGCCTGGATTCGCGGCATGTGCCAGTATCATTCTCCACTTATCTAATTTCCTTCATTAGCAATTTGCCAGTGGCAAAAGATGTGCCATATGGTATGCTCGTACCTTGCCTAGCATGTACATCTACTTTATAGTTTCTCTCGATGGACCTGGGACCAGTGATCCACGTGAGAGTTCTGTTTTTCCATCTCCCGTAGATATCGGCGACAGTTCAGATTTAACTTGGAATTTAGTACAGGTGAGTAGACTGCAAAGGTCAGGTAATTTGAAAGAGAATTATATTCAAGCCATTATCCGTTCGTGTATATTTTCAGGCTGTCGGTGTGGTAGTTATCTACCCATTCTTCCTCGCTAAGAGTTTATATTTTCAAGTAGTTTTCAGTTAATAAATATAATTGGACCGCATCGATCTATATATCTTGGTATGTAATCGAATTTATCACATATTATCGATTGTTTCCATGGCTGAGTGGTCCATTGACCATTTAATTATATGAAGTCCAATCATTGCTGCCGACTGGTATACCGCAAAGTCCAATCGCAAGATAATGAATATTATATTTAGAGCCTTATTGGCGTGCTCCCCGTTACACTACTGATACACATTAACGCACAATTTAAACAGTTAAAAATTGATAAAAATGCTGAGTCTTAAGATTAGTCACACGAACTATTTTAGTCCATTCCATACATATTTAAACGATCGATACACTTTTTGCGCCCACACTTATATATGTCGTACATATTAGATAATTTAGTCGCTTAGCGTTTTTTCTTCAAAAAAAAAAAAAATCCATCGTACTGTTTCACATTTTAATGAGTGTAATCCACTCGCCGGGTAGGCAATACCTGTCACGAGCGCATACTGAGCACACGTTGTATCCAACTCAGCGCGCTTTGCGCATACCGATGGCAGATAAATTTGTATGTATGTATATACGTGACTGTTGTCAGTAACACACACCAGTTGAGCTGTGAAACTACGTACATTCAAAGAAGAGGATAATAAGAGAAAACAAAACAAAAATGAAAGTCCACCTTATTAGAGAAATATATGTACAATACCAGCTGTTGCATCAACAAAATAACGATGAAGGAAGAGAGACAAGGAGAAAATGCATGCTATTGTAAAATTGGAAGGTAAAAGTTTGAAATTGTTGCAGTTGGAAGTCTTGAGTGGATTTTTATTGAAGTCACATTCTTGGTGGCCAACAGTGAAGTGGAAGTGACCTACCTTACTTATATTATATAAATATAATATAATATATACATACGTGTACACTATGGGTTTGAGAACACAGGCAAGTTTATGTATTGTACGTGGTACCACTTCTCAGTAAAGAGAACTAGTTCAAAACTGTTTCAAGGCTGGTACATTTCTCGCCAAATAGATTTAATTTAATTTTTTTTTATTTGCAAGTGATATTTTTATAGCGGTCTAGCGGTAAAATACAATATAAAATTAAAACTGAAAAAGAAATTAATGAAAAACTTTGTTCTGGTATCAGTTTGGCTTTTATCAAATTAATGTTATTTGTGTCAGAAAGCTCTAGTGGTAAGCTCTTGCTGCTTAGCTTGATCTGTTTGTGCA